GGAAAGTCTCTTTCTCATTATACTTTCACCCACTAATTTAAATAAATAAAGCTGTTGAAAAATAGTAATGTTGTTTGTTCCCTAGTCGTGACAAATACACCATTGTAATGTAAGTTAATTTACACTACTATTTTTACAACTTTTCTGTAAATCTGTTCTGTAGTCTATAAAACTATTCTAAATATTAAAAGTTTATTTAAATAAAAATTACAGTCATGCATCACTTAATATCCACGATACATTCTGTGAAATAGGACATTACGTGATTTGGATGTTGTGGAAACACCATATTATATGCAGGCACTCCCCGGATTACGAACACGTTCCGTTCCTAAGTCTGTCTTTAAGTTGAATTTGTACGTAAGTCAGAACAGTTAGGTACAGTTCATACCTAACATCAGTTAGTCAAATGTTTGTCTTAGTATATACTGTAGTATATAGTGTATCTTTCTATGCTGCAGTGCGATGGATTGCTTGTGTGTGGCCTTTCTTGCCATGGTCTTGTAACTCCCACTCAAGTGAGTGGGTGGGACTGTGCAAATAAGATTATTGTGGTCCACCAAGGGGATTGGTCAGTTTTGCCTGCTAGGCTTAAAAGACAGCCAATTCCAAAGCAGGAAGAGGATCTCACCACCACCAAGGAAGAAGATCCAGGAGCAAAGTGCATCCTTTGGACCTGGGGTCCCTGCGCTGAGAAGCTTCTGGAACCAGGAGACCGAGACAGAGAGAGAGAGAGATGTTAACACCGAAGGGGAGAAGCGGTGGCAGAGAAATGGCGGCAGGAGATGGCATAGTAGGCTTCCCGGCCCACAGAGTGAGAAAGCTGAGTGCCTTCAGGCAGGAGCCTTGCTGGTGGAGTAGAGGTGCCTCCAGGCACTTAGTAGAGCTAAGTTTGTGACCCAAAGAGCTAGAGGTGAGCACCTTCTGGCCCAGGCTTACTGGTGGAGTGGGGTATCTCAGGGCACTTATCAGCAGAGCTAAAAGATTTCTGTACACTTGCCCAAGCAGGGCAGAGGCTGAGGGGCCAGAAAGAGGTATGCCTGCGGACAAAGCTGAGAAGAGGCTGTCCTGATGGAAAAACTGTATCCTTGAGTGTTCTTGAATATGAATTTTAACCTGTTACTTCCCTAATAAACCTCATAATTGTAAGAATTGTCTGTGAGTTCTGTGTGGCCCTTGCAATGAATTATCAAACCCAGCGGAGAAGTATAGAGTGCCATGGGAGGGATGGTTGGTGTCAGAATTGGTAAAGACGGCAGACAGAGGAGGCATGTCTGACCTCCACCTCATAGGAATCAGCCTTGGGCTGTTGATCTTGATTCTCCTTCCCCCTTGTGAAGTTAGAGGTCAGACACCTCCACCAAGTCACTTTTACATATGCATAAAAACATCAAAGAAACACTTCCAGATACACTAAAACATCTTTAACATAATAATACAGTAATAATAATAATGCTTTGCCGTGCATTGCAAAGCAGCACCTGTTTGTTATTACAAACCACTTGTATGTACCTTGAATTTTTAATATAATAGGCTTTATGGGGGTTGGTTCATAACTTTGAGTTGTACTTAAGTCTGATGGTCATTAACCCAGGGACTGTCTGTACTTAGCAAAGCTATATGGGATAGTGTACTGTACCTGTATTGACTAAATAGCCAAGATGCTGTACACACAGCACACATATGCCTGGCAGTGCTATCACTCTGCATACAAGAGACATGAAATACATGTGTTGCATGCAGGATGCTGCTGTGTTCGCTATGTCGTTACATCTGTTACATCCCATTCTCCTATCAGAATTTCTGAACTCTATTATAACTTTATGGGACCACGGACGTATACACAGCCAGATGGATGTTACGTGGTACATGACTGTACATATGCAGTTAAAAAAAAAAAAAGGAAGAAAAAGGCAAGGTAGTGACATGCTCAGATTTGCTATGAAGACCACTCTGGCAAGAGAAAGGGACAGATATCGCAATAGTTAAGTGCTGGCAGGGGCTTGAACTAGGAACATGACCATGGGGAGAGAGGACTTAATGACTACTTGGAGATGTTTGTGAGGGGGAGTGTGCTGCTGGAACAAACTGTCAAAATTTTAGTGGCTTCAGACAACACAAATTTATTATCTTAAACAGCTCTAGAGGACAGAAAAGTGGGCTAAAACTGTGTGTGGCTGCATTTCCTTGTGGAGGCTCTAGAGAAGAATCAGTGTTTTGTTTTGCTTTTTTCCTTTTCCAGCTTCTACAGGCCACCTTGTGGTCTTAGCTTATGGTCTCTTCCTCCCTTTTCAAATTTCTCTCACTCTGACCCTCCTAACTCCGTTACTTACAAGGCCTTTTGTGACTACATTAGGCCCACCTGGGTAGTCAAGGATAATCTTTCCCATCTCAAAATCTTTAATCACATCTGCAAAGTCTCTTTCGCCATGTAATATATTCACAGGTTCCAGGGTCTAGGACATAAGACATTTAGGGGAAGAGGGAGTCCACTGTTCTACCTACCACAGGGTGTCATCAGTGAGGCAAACAGAAGGCTGTGAGGGGAAGGTGAGGAGGTCAGCTTTGGATGAGTCTGAGGACATCCAGGGGGAATTGCCCCCTTGGCTTTCATCCATTCACCAAATACTAAGGACCTCCCATGTGACAGCTGCTGGGTGTAAAGTTAAACACTGTATTTGACTGCTTCTAAGACACCTTCATTTTGAACATCTCTGAAATCAAGATCCATCTTTTAATTAACAGCATTTTACAACTGTAATTGGCAGGTCTTTTCTTTCCTAGTGATAGGTAAGATAATGTGCATCTTACAACTGATAGTTCTCTAGGCTGGCACTTCCAAACCGAACCTGTCGCTGACTCATAGCAACCCTTTTAGGACGGAGTACGGTTTCCCAGGCTGTTAATCTTTACAGACGCAGACTGCCATATCTTTCTCCCACAGAGCAGCTAGTGGGTTCGAACCACAGACCTTTCAGTTATTTTAACCACTGCACCACCCGGGCTCCCACTAGGGCTGGCACTAAACCAAAAACCAAACCCGTCACTGTCAATTCCAACTCATAGCGACTCTACAGGACAGAGTAGAACTGCCCCATAGAGTTTCTAAGGAGCAGCTGGTAGATTTGAACTGCCTATCTTTTGGTTAGCAGCCGAGCTCTTAACCACTGCACCACCAGGGCTCCAGAGCGGCCTAATTATTGTCGAAGTTGGAGGCCTTGCTAGAGCACAAAGTAGCTCACCTCACTCCCAAGTCTTTCCTAGTTCCTAGCCTGGCTCCTTCCACCCTGAAGCTCCTACATGTCCCAGGGATCTGGTGCTCAGACTCCCTTTAAAGGGCCCCTTGTCTCCACCAGTGGCCTGGCCACACATACGCTCAGCTCTGCTCTCACAGCAGGGTCCAGGAACTGGCCCCTCTCCCCAGGTGTAACCTCAGTCACAAGAGTAGGCCCAATGAGCCTCAACCTGGTTGTACACTGGAAACACCTGGGGAGCTTTTAAAACCCCAGACACCCAATCCATAACCTAAACAACCTCATTCAGAATCTGAGTATTATTTAAAGCTTCCTAGGTGAGTCCTTGTGGTGCAGGGGTTAAATGCTTGGCTAACCAAGAAGTCAGTAGTTTGAACCCACCAGCTGCTCCATGGAAGAAAGATGTGACAGCCTGCTTCCATAAAGATTACAACCTTGGAAACTCTACGGAGCAGTTCTACCCTCTCCTGTAGGGTTGCTACGAGTCAGAACCAACTTGATGGCAATGGCTTTTAGGTGAGTACCGTGGGCAGCCAAGGTGGAAAAGTAAAGGAATCCACCTAATTTGGTCCAAGTGAAAAGAGGTATAAGGCAGCACTTGGGGGTGGGGGGGTGGGGGGTGTCCAGACTATACAAGTATACCCGTTTGTCCCCCCCGCAAGATTTCTGAATTCCTGTTATGTGAGCAGCTGAGCCATCTAAGTTTCCTCGAGACACTAACCCTGTGCCAGACACATTGTGGGAACCCAGGAAATGCACAGCCTCAAAGGCCAGGCAGAAAAGGCCCAGTGCCAAGAACAGGTCTGGGAGCAGAGCCCACTGATTTGCTATGACCAGCCCTGATTTGCTGGCCAGCCCTGATTCGCTGTGTGAGCTCCAGTGAGTCACTGCCCCTCTCTGTGCCAGAACAGGTATCCCTGAAGGGCCCTTCAAGAGCCAACACTGAGGCTACACTTAACCTAAGGGCCATAACAAGTCACAAGAACCGCTGCAAGGGATGAAAGAGGGACCGGACTAGGGAAAGATCCTAGCTCTCAGAATCTTACGGGTCTTGGATGATCTTGGCTCATCCATCCCATTTCTGTTCAACTTCTAAGGAGTTTGAGACAGTGGGGAGCCAGTGACTAGAAGGTTTCCTGCTCACCCCCAGAAGGGTCCCAACGTCTTCCAGGTGTCGCAGGCCTTCCGGGCCTAAAATCTCTACTCCTGAGGCTTTAGCCCCTGCTGGTTGGCAAGAACAGAGCATCTGAGCTCCTCAAGGCTAACGAGGAGTCCTGGTGGTGCAGTGGTTAAAAGTGCTCGGCTGCTAACCGAAAGGTCAGCAGTTCGAACCCACCAGCCCCTTCACAGGAGAAAGACATGGCAGTCTGCTTCCGTAAACATTTACAGCCTTGGAAATCTTATGAAGGAGTTCTCTCCTACAGGGTCGCTATGAGTTGGAATCGACTGGATGGCAGTGGGTTTGGACTGTTTTTTTTAAAGGCTAACAACCCGACAACACTAACAGGAAGCCCAGAGGAGACTGGAAAATGGAGAGTGAATGAGGGATTTTCAGATGGCAAGCAGACTCCAAGTGGGGAGGCCAAAGGACACTGACAGAGAACAAAGGTGAGGTGGTTCAAGAGACCAGAGAGAAACCGCCAAGGAGCAACTTCATGGGAAGAAACACTCAAGGAGCAAGGGGAGTCCAAAGGGGTTGTGGAGAAGGCCCCCGGCTTCTGGTCCCAGCATAGCCAAGGCCCCAACACACAATTAAAAGCTTTTATTGGGAAAGGGAAGTTGACTGAGAAGCATCCCCCAATGTCCTCATTGCCTAAGACAGCTGGGAGCTGCTCTAGAGAGTCCAGGAAAGAAGGGGCCACTAAACGGGGCCCTCAGTGGGTTCAGGTGTAGAGATCAAAGTCAATGCGTTTGGAGTTGTAGAACTGACCACCAGGGGGGTCCAGCTTCCGGCAATACACACCATCTGGGAAGTAGCCTTCATTCACCCAGGTCTGCAGGAAGAGAGAGCTGAGCTGGGAGAGGAGTGGTGGAGATGGCGGGAGGGAGGGACAGGCAGAACAAGGTAGAAAGGGACTTACCTGCATCTGGGCGCTGGTAAAGGGCCCGTATAGCTCAGCATCCCCTGTGTTCTCCCACTTATATTCCCACATCACATCCACTAGACCATCCCCTGGCGACTCTGCCTCTAAAATAACAGGCAAGGTAATTTGGGCCTCAGCCACCCTGTCCCCTGCCCACAACATCCCTCTTCTGCCCTCCAAGCTTACCTCCTTTTTGGGCAGGGGTTGGGGTCTCCAGCTCCCCCTCTGCCACTTCCTCAGCAAACATATCCAGAGAAGGTGGGGGTGAAGGGTCATGGGATCCCTGGGTCCGGCACCCCAGCCCCTTCAGCCGCATGGCCAACCGTTCCCGAGTCTCCTGGTACACACCAAGGTTGCCTCGGGCCACCATTTGGTCGGCCAACCCTGAGAGCCGGTCTAGGCGCTGGGGGGAACTGGGTCGCCCAGGCCCTTTGCTGTCCCCTTTGCCTCCTCGGGCCCCCAGACGCCTCAATGCCCCAGCAACTGTCTCCCTCGGCAACAGCAACTCCAGAAGGCCCTCCAGGAGGGCTTGGGCACTCATCGGTGTCTGGCCCAGGCTGTCCTCCTCTGAATCTGAGGTCTGACGCTGATCAGGTGGTCGCTCCCTGATCTTCACCTGTAAATACGAGAAGACTTAGTCCCTACAAACTGCCAGCAGGGCCCAAACTGCGCACTCTCTGCCCCCAGCCCCCAGCCATGCCAGCCCCTGGGCCACACCCAATCAATGTTGTCCAGCCAGTTGTCTCGGATCTGAGCGTCACGGTTCAAGAAGTAGTTGCCATCAGCATCAAAGTGACCTTCCTCCATCTCCTCCTGCAGGTTGAAGGGTGTGATCCGCACACCTCCCTCACTGGGGAGAGTGGCTGCTTCCTGACCTGCACCAAAGACACAGATGCTCCATGTCAGGCATGCAAAAAGAGACAGAGAAAAAAAAACAGAGGCAGGAGCCTACCTTGTCCCACAGCCCCAGAAGCCCCTCCTTGTCCCTCTGGCTAAATCAAATCTTGGGTATAACTCACCTTCCACATCCTCTGAAGCCAGGATGTCATATTTGCTGGACCCCTCCTCATCGTCATCCTCCTCATCGCTGTCCAAAGAGTGTTTACCTTTGAAACGGCTCCCAGGACCTCCTGCCCCAGCCACAGGATCCACCAACTATGAACAGGAGTCAGCAGTCAAGACAACAGGCTATTGGCTACTCCCCAAAATACTCTAGAGTCTGGATCCAAACTGAAAATCCTTCAAACCCATTCCTCAGAGAATATGGCAAAGCCATCCCTCCCTTTGCCCCCTCAGCTTTATTTCTCTTCGGGTTTCTAGCTCCTCTCTTCTCCCCTCACTCGTCCCAGAACACAGAAATCCGGCCCCCTCACCTTCTTCTTGGAGACACTGATTTCATTCTCGTCATCATCTCCCACGCCTTGGAAAGTCACTTTCCTCTTTGGCATGATGGGGCAGAGAAGGCTTCCTTAAGCTGTGCTGAAAGAAAAGGGAGGCGGGGGGAGATAAGGGAACTGGGTGGGCGAGAAGGGACTTATCGCGAGAGAGCCCCGCCCCCTACCCCACCCCCCCGAAACATTTCTCCAGGTACATCCAGTTCGGGAGGGGAGGTAGCACATAGTCCGAAAGGGGAACTGGGAACCAGGCAACTCCCTTGGTTCGGCATTCGAGAGGGGTCCTGGAAATCGGTGAGAAGGGCGGACACGCGGAATATCTCCTCACGGGTATTCCCACCCTTTACGAAAGGAGACAGGCTCTCCCACGTGACCACCCCCACTCCCCGGACCCGCAGTCCTAGGCGCGGCGGGACTCAGGAGGCTGACACCTGGCCCCTCAGGGTCCCCAGAGACCGTGGAGCCCAGACAACCCCAGGATCTGGAGCCCCGGCCGCCCGGCTCCTCCTCGCGCCCGAACTCCCAACGCCGCGGGGAGACTCCAACTGTCCGGTGCTATGTATACAAATCAGAGGGGCTGCAAAGCCAGGGGAGACTCGGGAAGTCCCACTAGCGCGCGCTCACCTGGGGCTCCAGGGGAGGCGGGGGAAGAAAAGGAGAGATGCTTTCGCCAGAGATATATCCGGGGCACTCGGCCGCCATCACCCGGAAGAGAACTGCTGAAGGCGCCAGGGAAGGTCGGAAGTGACTTCACTCCAGTTAGAGACCTAACTGAAAGAGCGGGCGGAAATACGCAATGATCGAGGGACGAGCTCCCAGAAGTGACGTAAACTGGCGAAATGACGAAAAGAGAGGACGTAAGAACGCGTATGCCCAGATCGGGGGAGAGGGATGGTCGGAAGCGGTGTTGATTGCCTCAGACAGCGGTAGAGGCTTGGGGTGGAAAGTGGATTGAGCTGTACTTAACGGGGCGCCGAGAGTCTGCATGGAGGAGCAAAGTCTGAGCAGATCCAGTGCACTTCTACCCATTTTCCTTGGCAGGGTTCAAATCACCCTTCCTCCAGGGCTGGCTAAGGGCTCTACGCCCCTCACCATCTGAGGAGAAATCATCCCTGCCCACTCCTAGCCTCCAGTTGTCTGCTCTGTTCATAGCGTCAGAGACGCAGCCTTGCTCCTCGTCTTCAGGGAAGCCTGCCCGGCTCTTCTGATGGTCCGCTTTGTGGCCCCTGACCACGTAGGCCCCAGAAAAAGTCATTTGCCCCACACCTACCCCCAGGACGGTTCCTGGTTTCTGAGGTGGGAAAGCCACCAACAGGAGAGGTGGCAGAGTACCTAGGCCAGAAGCCTTTTGTGCCCCACTCTCAGGTAGGCCTGAAAAAGGGCAGCAGTACCTCTCTCGAAGCGCAGCGCAGCGCAGGATAAAGCCCGCCTTAGCAAACAAGGCCCAGTCAGGCAGCTCCTGTCCAGGTGTTGGGAGTTTGGCCCAAGGGGGTGCGGTTGGGGAGTGGGAGGACCTGGTCCCATTGCTGTGGGAGAGGTCCCAAACACTAGTGGACACTCAGGAGCTTGAATCCCACTAGGCCAGACCGTGCCCAGGAAGAGCCTGTTGGGGCCAGAGGACACCAGTGGGGGTACCAAGGGCAACCAACTGGCCCACTCCACGCCTCTCCTGCGCCCAGGGTTGGACCACCATGAAACTGCACGTAGTCAGTGCTGTTTCTTCTGAGGGTGCAGAGCACGGGCCCCAGATTGGGATGGCTTCTTGCTAAATGGGGTCCAAAACAGCTGCTACCAGTGCCACTGTTCATCCTTCACGGAAACCTCTTCTGCCTGACCCACCAGGCAGAGAGCACACCCCTAGGCCTCATCCTGTTGGAGAAATGCCAGGTGGAGCCACACCTTGGAGTCATGGAATCCAACATCTTTTAACATTCTGACCCCTGGGATGGAGGGCACAGAGGGTGGTTGGGCCTGTAAGATGGCTATGGAAAACCGAGAGCTGGGAGCCTGGCTATGGGAGCTGACCAGGGTGAGCAGGAGCCAGCTGGCTGTGCAGCTACCCTCTCTGGAGGCCCCAGTACAGGGAACTGTGCCAGGCGTGCTGGCCAGGAGCCCAGCTCCAATCAGAGGACTGCGGCTTTCTAGCCACCCTCACTCAGTCCCCCCTCAGGCTTCTAGGAGCTGCACCCGTGCTTTGGAAGATCATCTGGGTGCTGCAGGTAGAACATAGAGGGCTCCAGACCAGTGACAGTGGAGGCAGCAGATCCCAGGAAGCTGGGGCAGGAGCTCAACCAGTATGTTGATGAGTTAGAGATGGACCAAAGGCCAAGAGGTACCTGCCAAGACCAACAGACTGCTTCAGTAGAGACCCAGGTTCTTTCTCCTCTCCCTCCCTAGCCATTACCCCAACCGCCTTCATCAAAGAACACGGCAGGAGACAGGCCCAGGTACAACAGCAGGTTCTTTTCTGGTTCCTCAAGGCGCCGCACGCACAGGGCAGGGGCAGGGACAAAAGAGAATGTAAACATAGGGTTCTACCCCTGGACGTCAGGGGAAGAGCCCTCTGATAGGGCTGGAGGGTTGGAAGGAAACAAAGGTGAAAGGCGGGGGCCCTGGTAAGACAAAGCAGGGGAGGCCTGAGAACACAGAAGGAGAGCAAGAGGGTAGTGGGTGGGGAGGTGGGGGACATTTCCTGTTCCAGTGCATGTCCCCTTAAATAAACTGGGACACAAGCATTGTGGAAGGAGAACCAAAGAACAGAAGATGGAGTGAGCATTCCCACCTGGCCAGGTCCTCTATACATAATAACAACAGAGATGTCCAGAAATAGATCAAGGAGAACCTTGGCCCCCAGCCAGGAAGTGGGGACTGGAGGAGGGAAAAAGGAACCCAGCTCCACCTCGCAGGTAAGGGAAGCCATTGGAGTGTAAGAATCTGAAAACTGCTGACTCCCATCACCAGGAGTCACCCCTGTGATGACAAGAAATCAATTAGGAGAGCACCAGGGAGGGGACCCCAGACGGAGTTGGGGCAGGAGTGACAGAGACCCTGGCTGGGCCTGTCTGGAGGTAAGGGGCTCCAGATTTTCTCCTGGCTGCCTCAGGGAAATGCAGCTGCCCCATGCACTGTGACTGTCTTGGCTGTGTAGGATCAGCAGCTGGCATGAGGAGATAGGGTAATCAAGCCACTTTCCTCAGAGAGGGATGGCCCACCAAGGGGGCTGGGGGCAGCAGGTCAGGCCTGCTCTTGGCTGAGGGGAAAAGGGGGGCCATGCAGTCCACCCCAGGGTAGAGGTCAGAAGTAAGCATCCTGCCGGGCCTCAGATGCCGAGGACCTGTCCCCGCCATCCTGAGGGGCTGGGGGCCCATCGGCCTTTCGACGCAGTGAAAGCTTCCGGCCTTGGGCCTTCTTCTCCTGCTTCTGCCGTTCCTTCTCTTGCTTCTGCCGCTCCTTCTCCTGCTTCTGCCGCTCCTTCTCCTGTTTCTGCTGCTCCTTCTCCTGCTCTTTTTCCCACTTCTGCCGCTCCTTCTCCTGCTTCTCCCGCTCTTTCTCCTGTTTCTGCCGCTCCTTCTCACTCTCCTTTTCCTGTTTCTGCCGCTCCTTCTCCTGCCTCCGGGCTTCCTTGCTGGTGCCCAACGGGGTGCTGTTGCCAGTAGGTGAGGGAAGGGATGGATGCAGTCCCTCAGCAGTGACCACAGGCCCTGGAGCAGGCCCAGCACTGGCCCTTCGGGCAGGAGGGGGTGGGGAGGGGGCCCCACCAGCTGCCCGGGAGCCTCGGCTCTTGAGGCCAGGGAGGCTAAGGAGGCTGGAAGAGGGGCCCAGGGGTGGCTGCTGCCGCCGGCGCTCCTCATGGATGGCCCGGGAACCATGGAGTCGCCGTGAGGGCTGATACTGCAGCTCCCCCCGGGTTTCCCGCCACTTCTTGAGCTGTGCTGCATTCTCCCGCTCAATCAGTGCCTCTGTGACTCGGAGGTTAGTCACCTGGAAGAAAAGTAAATGGGTAGCGGAATGAAAAAGAGGTACAGGGATGGAGCAAAGCAGGTGTGGGGTATGTGGAGGTCAGGCCTACCTCATGCACGAGAAGGTCCTCCTGCATGCACTGCTGGGGCAGGTTGCGCAGCTGCTCCATGGTCTCATACATGCCTTGGCAGGAGCGCAGCTTCTCCACTGAGCCCAGCGTGTGCTGCAGCAGCACCAGGGCCACTCGGAAGATGATCTTGACGCCTGGAAGGTCAGAAAGAAGACAGCATGGGAGGATCAGGCCCCAATCTCAGCCTGTCCCATTTAGTAGGGACTCACAGCCCCCATCCCTCCTACTGCTGATCTTACAGATGAGGAAACTGAGGCCCGAGAAGGGAAATGAGTTGCCATGGGTCTCTGGTTCCTGAGAGGGAGAGCAGCTCTGGGTCAGTGGCAGAGCCAAGATCAGGCCTCAGTTTCTCCAGCCCGCAGGCTGCTTACATTAAACCCTAGGCCCAACAATTACCTTCTGTCATTGGGCCACCAGAAATGTGACAGGGCCCTCTGGCAGTCACCACAGACGCCCCAGCCTCTCAGGGCCTGGATGGCCACAAAAGTACCTTCACAGAAAAACATGTCCCAGACACGTAGCACTGAAGCCCAGGGCAGGGTGCGGGCAAAGATGCACATGAACCATTCTGTCATGTAGAGCACAGGGTCAATGCGCTGCCGCCGCAGGTGCCGATGCGCCAATGGGGAAGCCCGACGCAGTAGCGCAAAAAAGATCTCTCCATCCAGCTGAATGGCCTCCTGGAGTGGGGACAAGTCACGAGAAGAGGGCCTAGCCTGCTTTGCCCACTAGGGATAGACCTAGCCCTGGTAGGGGATGCCCACCCCAGCGAGGAGATGTCCAGAGAAGAGAGGGACTGAACGGCCAGGGTAGGGCAGGATAAGGGCCTCCCTGCAGCCTTGGGGAAAAGTTACAGCCCAGGGTGCACCCAGCCTCCACTCACCAATCCTGCACTGTAGTAGCCAGGGAGGTACTTGTCACAGATCTGTACCAGGCACCAAAAGGCTTGCTAGGAAGGGCAAGAACAAGAAAGGAGGGGATGGGGCCTGAGAAACAGGGAGCAGGGAGCTCTCCCATCACCACTACAGGCCAAGCTGCTCCCAGCCCAACCCCACCAGGACCAGCCTATGCTGACCTCAGCAGGCATGTGCATGAGCAGCACTGCGGCCACTGGGGCCTGGGCCTGGCAGTAGCCCTCGTCAGGCCGGTAGATAGTGTAGGCCTTCAGGATGCGATACAGGTCCTGTTGCCTGGAGAGATGGGGAAGACGGTGAGGGTAATTACGGTAATCACAGGAGTTGGGAGCTCTCTGCCCCAAACCAAATCTGCTCCCTACCAACCCCAGCCCAGACCTTTCCCTCACCTAGCTCCAGATTAATCTGAGAATTTCACCAGGACACACCATCTACCTTCCTAGTCCTGCCTATCAGGCTATCAAGGTTGAGACCAAAATCAAAGCATTCCAGCTCTTGCCTTCCAACTTTTGGCCGCACGCCCCATGTTCCCTACCCATTCTCTAGCACAGGCTGTGCTCTCTCCCCTCCCAGTCTTTGTCCCTGCCTCCCTCCCTACTTCATTTGCCACTATCCTATAAATCTTCAAGGTCATCTTCTCCAGGAAGCTTTCAACATCCACAGCCTCAGCCCTACGCTAGCACTGTCTGAATGCTTCATCACCCCACAGCAGGAGCTCTCCCAGGCAGGGACTGCCTAATCTGTCTCACTAGATTTCATCAGTTCCTCCCAGAGTGTCCAGTGGGCGCTGGTTTTTGGTGAAGACTTGAAAGCCAGCTGTGCCTCAGACCTTCCTCTTATCTCTCTGCATACAAAATAAAATCTTGTCCCAGACTTGCTCCTTTTCCTTGAGGGTGCCTCATCACTGTGTCTGGGACTTCCATCCACTCAGCCCCCATATCAGAAAACGGAGAGCCATCCTCACTCCTTCCTCACTCTCCACCGGGTCCTAGCAAGTCTACACCCTGAACTTCACTCATGTCTGTTCCCTCTTCTCCACATCCACAACCATTTACCAACTCAGCCCTTCAGCTCTTGTCCAGACAGAAGTAATGACCTCCCAGATCCTCTCCCAGCCTCCAGTCTCACAGCTAGTCTAGAATACTGTACTCTGAATACTGAATACTCTAGAACACTGCCTAGAACGGCAATTCCCAAAAGTCCATTATTCAAGTGTGATCTTCATTTGTGCTTGATCTGCATACCACTCCTACTGTTATTAATTCTTCTTTCTCCACTTTACACTAGCATCCATGAAATAACAGGTTTGACATATGGTGGCTATTTTACCTAATACATATGAAAATAAACATGTAACTTCCTCAAGCTCCCACACTACATCCACCCACCTGCCTGCTTCTGTGGCCCTGCCTGCTCCCCTGTTGCTGTGGGTGAACTGTCTGTGATCCTGGCTAAGCACAGCCTTTCTGCTGGTGCACTGGATCCCATCCCTTCTCGCCCACACAAGGCCATCACTCCAGCAATCCTCCCATCTCCTGCATCATCAGTCTTCCCCTCTCTATTAGATCATTCCCATCAGCAAACAAATACACTTATCTTTTCTATCTTAAAAACCACTTTCCTCTCCAGATACCACATCATTTCTTTCCTTACCTATGTAATAAAATTCCTCCAGAGTATAGGCTTGCTGTCTCCAGTCTCTTTCCTCCCATTCTCCAGTCAGGCTTTTACCCACTATTCCACACAAAACTATGTTTATCAAGATCACTAATAACCTCCAGAGGTCAATTTTCAGACTTGATTTTACTTGACCCGTCAGCAGCATCTCGCAAAGCTGATCCCTGAAATCCTCTTCACTTTGCTTCCAGGAATCACACTCTCCTGGTTGTCCTCCAACCTCTCAGCTTCTCCTTCCAGTCTCCTTTACTGATGCTTTCTCATTTCCCATTCTCTAAATGTTGGAGTGCTGCAGGGCTCAATCCTTGGACCTCTTCCTTTTTTAGCTCCACCTGCTGCGTTGGTGATTTAGTCCAATCTGTAGACTGACAACTCCCAAGGTCCAATATATCTCCAATCTAAACCTCTCCCCTGAAATCCAGACTTGTATATATTGTATATCCGGCTTACTGGACATCTTCATTTAGATGTCCAATAGGCATTTCAAATTTAACATTCCAAAACTGAGCTCCTGACGTATCTCCTTTCCACCAGTTTTCCCCATCCTATCAGTAAACAGCAACTCCATTCTTCTAGTTTCTCAGGTCAAAAGCGTTTAATAGTCATCATTAACTCCTCTCTCTCTCTCATACACACACATGCACACACTCCCCATCTAATCCATTAGCAAATCTATTTGGCACTACCTTCAAAATATATCCAGAATCCAACCACTTTTCCCATATTTCCACTTCTATCATCCTAATCCAGTCTATAATCATGACTTTCTTGGATTATGGAAATAGTCTCCTAACTGATCTCTTTCCTTCTTCCCTTGTTTCCCTATTCTTAACAGAGCAGCCAGAATGATCCTTTTAAAGCATATGTCAGATCAGGTCATCACTCTACCCAAAAGCCCTGAAAAGGCTTCCTATCTTACTCAAGAGTAAAAGCCATGTATTTTCAACAGCCTACAAGGCTCCATTCATTAGGCCCCCCATTACCTCTCTCTGACCTCATTTCCTACTACTCCTCCCATCACACACTGACCTCCTTCTAGTACCATGAATGCACCAGGCACATTCTCACCTCAGAGCTTTTGCGCTCTGGTCGTCTGCCTGGAACACTCTTCCCCCAGATATCTACATGGCTCACTCCCACACCTACTTCAGGTTTTTACACAAATGTCGTCTTCTAAGTGAACCCTGCCCTGGGTCTCCATATTTAAAATTGGAACCTTATCCCCACTTACATTCCTTACTCTCCTTTCTTGTTTTAAACTCCTCTTTAATACTTACCATTATTTCACATAGAACATACTTTCCTTCTTTATCTTATTTATTATCTATCCTCACTAAAGTATAATAAGCTCCAAAAGGGCAGGAATTTTTGTCTTTTTGTTCACCGTCATCTGTGACTAGAACAGTGCTTGGCATATAGCAAATACTCAAATAAATACTAGTTGAAAGACAAACTTGCTGATAAAGTGTCCATCTGGGAACCACTTAAGATCATCATACATACTACTAGGGAGTGGTATATATACTACATCTTGAGGACGCTTAGCCTATAGAACAAAATCAAAATGGCTTGACAGAGCATTTAAGGGCCCTTGGTGATACGGCTGTAGACTTCTATTTCAGCTTTAGCTCTACCCAATCCTACTGGCCAGATACAGCTTATATAATTCCCCAGCCAGGAAAAACCTGCCCCCTGCTCCCATCTAGCCTTAAAAACCCAGCCCAAGTGCAAGCTCTTCCATGAGCCATTGATGTGTCTACACACGCACGCACGCACGCACGCACGCACACACACACACACCCCGAGTTAGAGTCTCCTTTCTGGGCACAGTCCCTCACAGCTCCCAGAACACGTCCTCCAATATGGCCTGACACTCAATCCATTAAGGATCACTCTTCTAGAAGCCCTGGAGGGCTTTCAACCCAGTCCTGTATCCACCTGGAGTCTTCAACAAGTGTTTGCTGACTGGTCCACAAGGTAAGACCACCTTACCCATGCCCCCCTCGAGCAGCAAACATCTCGTGGAAAGGGAACTGGCGGTGCAGGTCCTTTTCAATCACATCCAGCCACTTGGGGTCCCCAGGAGCCCGTTCCAGCTCCTACAGTGGAACAGCAGGGATTATCTCAAGATCTGAGGGAACTGACAACTCTCATGCAGATGGGGCCATATGCTCCACACCCTGGAGCTACACGTTACCTCAAACTTTCCAGGATTCTGCTCCAGGAGTTCCTTGCTATTGGACAGGTACTGCCAAGCCTTGGCTCTGAGGGAGGAGGGGACCCCCTTCCGGCAGCGCAGCTTCACCTAAGGGAGAGGGGCAGGCAAAGGGACAGCCTTAGGGGCTGGCACAGCCTCCGAGCTTCCCCAGGAAACCTCAAGCTTCCTGGGACAGTCCTCCCACATCTCACAGGGTTGACTCCAATGAACCTGGCCTGGCTTTCTATCTTTAAAGCTACTCCTCCCCGCAGGCCCAGGTACCACCTGCTCCCACATGGTCCAGAGAGTGGGAAACTATCAAGTTCCTGGGCTTCCCTGGAGCACGTGGACCCTAAGCACCCGCCCCCACCCCACCTTGTCCATTCCCTGCCCACCGCTCAGCCTCTTCAAACCTTCTGGAAACGTCTTGACAGCCACTTATCCCAGTTACTGAACATCTCCAGCCACTTCAACTCCCGTTGCCGAGCCACATCCACAGGAATGGCGCTCTCTCTGCAGGATGAGGGGCAGTGGGGAGGCATGGAAGAGGTCATTGTTAGTAGTACAGAACCTGGACTACTGGGAGAACTGAGGCAAGCCACCTCCCAGGCTCACATGTGAGACTGGACATAAAAGCATTTTGTAAGCAACCAAACATCAAGATGGCTGGCCATTTGGCCATCCCAAGGCTGAAAGGGATTTCTTCCCTGTTGGATAACTACACCAAACTTTGTGTTCAAATCCCGTTTCTGACACATCTATGTTTGGGGACACAGTATAGAATATTTTAAAGCCATACTGCATTAGACTTAGACCCAAGTCCTAGCTTGACCACTTATTCAGTGTGACCCTGGACAAGTAATTTAATTTCTCTGAGTCTCAGTTTCCTCATCTATAAGATGAAAAGAATAGCAATACGTACCTGAAGGGGTTTGTTGAGAGACTATAGAAAATAACACATAGCAGGGGCTCAAAAAGTAATAGCGATTATTATCCGTAAAATAAAATACAGAACAAATATAGTACTTCTCTATCTCCTCAGAAGCAACTATCAGTTTCCTATCAGACTCTTGAGATCCCTTGGGCTATCTGCAATTCCCTCCATCTCCTCCTCCCTGAAATGACCCCACATTCCCAGACAAAATGATGCTCTCCTAGCCCTGTTTACCCACTGTTCTGTCAGAGCTTCACAATCAAGGTGCCTCATCAGTCTTTAAACAGTTACTTACAGGAACCAGTACCAGGTAGCGAGTGGAATGGAAGACATTGGGTTTTATAAATCAGACAGACCTAGGTTCAAATCCCAGTTCTGTTGCTTAGGAGGACTCTTGGCAAGCGATAACCTGAGTCTCTTCCTCATCTGTAAAATCGAAACATCACCACCTACATCACAACATTATGAGAGGACTATTAAGAAACTATATATGAAAAGCTGTTAAATGGAAGGGGCCTATGAAATGTTAAAGTCTCTTTTGTCCTAGAAGCTCCTTAAACAGACTGTCTCTCATTCATCTCTATCATAAGTCAGCTCCAAACTCTACTAAGGGCAGGGAAGAGTAAAACACTTTTGCTGTCCTCAAGAAGGTCACAGCCTAGCAGGGGAGATAACTGCAATATGGTGTGGGAAATGCAATGACAAAGATGCACAGAAGAGGGACCTAACTGGAGTGGGAGCAGTGGATATTAGGAAAGGCTTCCTGTAGGACAGGAAGTCTGAGGTAAGCTATGAAGGGTGAGGAGAAGTTAGCAGGCAAAAAAGGGCAAGAAGGGCATTCCTCTCAGAGACAGTATAGCCTGAGCAAGGAGGAGGAGAAACTACAACCAATTCATGAGGACCACAGCACAAAGTGCATGGTGAAGAGTAGTGGAAGAGAAGGCCAAAGAGACTATGGAGCAAGCTAATAAGGAGCCTTGTGTACAGGCTAAAGAGCTTGGACTTTATCCTGCGGGCAGCGAGGAGCCGCTAAAAGCTTGTAAGGTGACATGCGCCACAGTCCGCCTTGCCTCAAAGGTAGATTTCTCCAGCATGGAGGATGGATTTTAGAGGGACAGAAGTACAAAGCAGAGAACTAGTACCCAGCACAGTGCCTGACACACAAGAGAGGCTTGCTAAAATTGAATGCAATGTTAAGTTCCTTACAGCAGTGTGGTATTGAGGAGAGAGCCAGAGTCATACAGATCTAGGCTCAAATCCAGACTGAGTGGGGCAATTCATTCAACTACTCTAATTAATCCTGTTTCATCTATAAACTGGGTACAACAATGCATCCCTCGTGTATGGACAAGTACCAAGGTCAAACTTCAGTTGTTTTCCCCATACAGGACTGTGAATGTTGCCACTCAAAGGTTTTCCGATTTTTTTGTTGGATTCTAAACCTGACTTAGAGTACCCTTCCACAGGACTTCCCCCACCAGATCCCCTGCCCCAACACACACCAACCAAAAACCAAATCCACTGCCGTGGAGTCAAATCTGACTCACAGTCACCCTATAGGACAGAGTAGAGCTGCCCCATAGGGTTTCCACGGCTGTAATCTTTATGGAAGCAGACTGCCACATCTTTCTCCCCCCGAGCGGCTGGTGGGTTTGAACTGCCAACCTTTCGGTTAGGAGCCAAGCGCTTAACCACTGTATCACCAAGGCTCCTTCCAACACGTACAGCCGTGACCAAATCCGCTCATTCTTCAGGACTCAGATCAGCTTCAGCTGAATGCTCAGGCTGGGCAAGAGGTCCCTTCCCTAAGCAGCTCACAAAACCCTGTGCTGATCTCCAGCCTAAACCTAACATATTATATCGAAACCAACTGCTTAAATATTTGTCTCTCCCTCTTGACAATGAGTTTCTTGACAGAACCATTTTATCCCTAGTACCCACTATTGGGCCTGGCACTTGGGTGCTCAGAAGATGCTGCAGGTTGAACTGTCCTGCAGGTTAAAGGGGCACAGGAAAAATGGGCAGAATCCAGAGAGAGGGAAGAAGTCAGAAACGATCACGCCCCCACCTCAGGAGTGACTCAGGCCCCTGGAGGGAACTAGGGAAGAGTAAGGTCTGCTGGGGAGATGAGGAAATAGGGAAGAGGCCTCCCTTAACCTCTTTCCTTCAGTGAAGACACAAGATTGCCCTTATCTGCAGAGGACTGCTGCCTTCAGGGTCTCTCCTCCATCAGTCAGACCTCCTCCTACTTCACCAACCCATCAGACCTAGAGCTATGAGGGGGAAGGATTCCTGCATCCTTCCCAGACTCTCTGCCCAGCTACCCCTCCAGAATATCTGACCTGTAGCTGCAGTTTAGCATCAGGGAACTGGGATGACCTTAGGGATCACCTCATCCAACTCTTCACTTCACAGAGGAGGAAACTGAGACACAGAAAATGGGGAAGCCACTAGCTCAAGGGCACACAGCACTCCAAAGACAAAGCCTAGACTCAAACCCAGGTCTCCTGACCCCTAGTCTGAAACTCTAACATGCCAGTGCCACAAAAACCTCAGGACGCCCTGGGCATGACAGGGACCACCATGTAGCCGACTCCCACTAATCACCCCTTGGATCCTCAGAGGAAGCTGGGGCTGACAGAGTCTGGGCAAGGTAAGTATTTCTCCTTCTCCCCTCCCTGCTGCCCTGAGGCAGTCCCATTTGGGTGCCCACCGGGTACTCACAGGCTGCCTGAGTACTGGCTGCCCCCAAGGAAGCCATACTTGTCCGTCCTGCGCAGGGCCAGCCCATTGATCTCCGAATCTGAACCCATGGAGCTCACATCATCCGCCAAGGACTCCAAGGTCCCAGACATGAGGCTCACGGAGTCCAAGTAGCTCAGAGTGTCCGGAGCCTGCCCTCGAGGCCCAGGGATGCCAGGTCCCAGGCTGGACATGGAGCCTAGGTCCTGAGAGTTTTCAGCAGGCTCCAGAGCTGGTGTCACCGTCACTACGGCTACCAGAGCCTCATTTGTCCCTGGAGGGCCTGTACCAGGCCCTGAGGGGTCCTCAGGAACCGGTCCTGCTGATGCTGATGTTGATGCTGCAGCTCCATGTCCACTTGTCACCTGTCCTGGGGTGACTGCTGAAGCCCGTGCAGTCACTCCTGAGGCCACTGTGGTTTCCGGCTTGGGGGCAATTGGGGGTTTGGCGGTCAGGGCCCCAGGAGCTGTTCTGGAGGGGGTCCTGGTGTGCGTCCCCGCAGGGATACCTGGTCCAGGGGCGGGCGAGTTTCGAGCCTCCTCCGTCTTCGGAGAGTCTACCCCTGGGGCCGGAGCCATCGACGTCCCGGCTCCTGCTACTGCCGCGGGCACGGGGGGCTCAGGGCCAGGGGATACCTGTGCCGTCGGGGCTGCGGGCGAGGCCTCCAAAGTCAGCACTACCACTGTACTGCCGGCGACCCCCGGGGCCCCAGCCGGGTCTGGCTCCGTGGTTTGGTTGGGCCCGGGGACCCAGGCAGGCTGCGCCTCCCCTGGGGCCACTAGGGTGACCGGGGCCGAGATGGCCGTGGTCACTGGCGGCCCGGGAGCCACCACCACCATGGGCCCGGACCGGGAGCCCCGGGGCGGCGGCGAGGGGGCCGCGGGGGCGCC